TTACTTCCCTTTTCATTCTCATTTTTTATTGTTATTTACCTCAAGATTTTCCCCATTTAGCCATTCTCCATCGTAGGGCTGCAACATCTCTTCGGGAATGTTGYCTAACTGTAAAAATGAATAAAAAGAAATTGATTCCGCGTGATCCCGTTTCCAGTTCCAATCCATTCCATAAGTTCATACTTGTTTACATGGCACTATCACGACTCAAAAGTCAAATTACCTCGAAGGCAATGGTTTGCTCATCCGTTTTCACTTTTTTCGAGACCGAAGAGGTCGAATTTTCACACTTTCGCTTGGAGGTGCCACCGTTACATGTTTTCTCGTGACGCTTGAGATTGTCCTTACGTCCAAAGGTTTTTCCACAGTTTAGACACTCAAAACGTTGGTTGGTATGTTTTTCCAAAACATGTCGTTTAAGGTTCTTTTCCAAACCAAATTCCTTGTGGCATATGGAACATTTCAACTCAGGTGGGTGCTATTAAGAGTGAAAACTATTATCGAAAATATTGATTTGAATTTCACTTGAATAACTATTTCAAAACTTCATTAAAGTTATGCTCAGAATAATAACCATTGAACGAATAGCTTGAACTTGAATAATAAACATTTCTCAAAGTATATTCTAGCGGTTTACGGGCTTTTGTAGGCAAATATGACTAACAATTGGAGGTTTCAAGCTCTTGTGTCTTGTGAGAACATGAATCTTTTCATATCTTCAGATAAAATAAGGATTCGGCGATCGTGAGCGCCTTGTTATCATCTGTTAACGGGCGATCGATTAACAGTTTATAAGAAAAACATTTTCAACGCGTGTCATATTGACCTCACTATCTTTCCAGAAGAACATACAAATTCAGGTTAAAAAGGAAAGGATTCGGCAAGTGTAAATGTCAAGTTTACGGATGATAAATCAGTTCAAAACAAATATCGAAATGCAAATTTACTAAAGTCATAATAAAACGAAGGCTAACAGCGGATATATATAAATTCAATGAGTGAACTTACCATGAAATCGCTGCCTTGTTGACAAGGTAATGCTTGGACACAAGAGTTTTCTTCGATTGCCTAGAGAGACAGAATTACCGATAAGTTTTACGAGCAAAACTAATCAAAATACTGATCGACAAGTGTAAGAGTCAAGTTTACGGATGATTAATCAGTTCAAAACAAATATCGAAATGCAAATTTACTAAAGGCATAATACAACGAAGGCTAACAGCGGATATATCTACATTCAATGAGTGAACTAACCATGAAATCGCTGCCTTGTTGACCACGTAATGGCTGAACACGGGGGTTTTCTTCGATTGCCTAGAGAGACAGAATTACCGATAAGTTTTACGAGCAAAACTGATCAAAATACTGATCGGCAAGTGTAAACGTCAAGTTTACGGATGATTAATCAGTTCAACGAAGCAAGCGAAGGCTAACAGCGGATATATCTACATTCAATGAGTGAACTTACTATGAAATCGCTGCCTTGTTGACCAGGTAATGGCTGAACACGGGGGTTTTCTTCGATTGCCTAGAGAGACAGAATTACCGATAAGTTTTACGAGCAAAACTGATCAAAATACTGAAAGAAAAAAGTCAACTTTACCTCGTTCAGCCACATTGCTAAAAGATTCGTTGTTTCTTGATTATAGCTTGCCATCTTGACTAATATTTGAAATTGTGTCGATAGATAGATGAGAAAATAGTGCCGGAGCTCCATGGCGGATGTTCTTTTATAAATTCACTCAGACGAAAAATTCCATTCGAAAACTTGGAATGGACGCGCTAACATTCCACCTTGAACTAGATGGATGCCGTTAAAGATCTCGTCTTCTCATTGGTCACAAAA